TATATATATATATATTATACAGTAAAATGTTTGATTTGCTAATGATTTTTGTGAAGGAATTGTTAAAATTAGAAAACTATTGTAAATAGGGCTGTTTGATAGGGCATTTTCGAGGGCCCTTTCAACGCTGCTTGCAGCTTTAGTTGAAAATGTGTTTGTCAGTAGTACTGTTGTCACGATACCAAAATTTTGACTTCGATACAATACCCGACTAAAATATCTTGATACTACTACTGAACCGATACCAACACAAAAATCTAAAACAACAGGAAAATTGTATTTATTATTATCATTTTATTTATCATTTAAAAAAAAAAATGAATGGAACCCTCAATTGCCCATCAAACTCAGATGGTGAAACAGTTCATGTCACAAAATAAATCACACTCATTTGACTTCAGGGCATGAGCTAGGGATGGGAAATATTACTAAAATCTTATTTCACAATATGAGTACTTCTATTTCACAATAACAGTGTATATCATGATATAATAATTTTTGTTAATTTATCTTTGCTATTAATAATAAGAACATAGATGCATGTAACAAACAAAAGGACAAATACAACAAACAACAACACAAATGAAATAAACAGTGTTTTTAGGTACAGTAGGTCTATTTAACAGCAGCATTCATGTAAGAGATAATACAGAAATGGAATCATCAAAATGTAAAAGTATAAAGCACTGTATAGTCTTCACTCTATGAATTAAACATTCCTACATTGATCCTTATTAAAGCTACTAAAGTTAGTCAGTCAAGATAAGTGAGTGATTTTCTCTTTTTTCTTTTGTTGTTTGATTAATTGATACAGACAGCAGCAGGAATATTAGCCTGCTGTCACTTTAAGAGCGGCACGGATCAAATATATTGATACACTTGCGTTCTCTTTCTCAGCTGTTTACATTCACTTGAGTAAAGACGGGAAATTTTAAAATAATTGTGTGTGTATTTGACCGTTGAAGCGCAATAACTCTTGAAAGAGATCTGAATTCACGATCACGTGCTGAGAGAGGCGGCTCTCCGTGAGCATGCTTTGAGTGTGTGATGGTGAGTTTTTCGAAGTTAATACCTCTTTATAACATCGAGCACGTCCTGCGCTTCACTCTTGAATTGTCAATAACTTGCGGAAGTCCTTCTCCGCATGGATATATAAAGTTTGTCACGGCCAGTGTGCATGCATGGAGTGGAAGCAGAGCGCTGCACACACACACACTGCCCTGATGCTGCACATCGACGCAGCTCAGGAAGTACAGCTCTTATTAAAACACCATTATTCTTAAAGTACCGGTACAAGGTATCGAGATTTTAGTACAGGTATATCATGCAACGCTAGTCAGAAGCTGTGGGAGCACTTCATGTCAGCACTGCACACATTCAGATGGTGGAAATGAACTGAATGGATAATGTTTTGATGTACAGGTCCAGATTTTGTCATCTGTGATGAGGGTCACGTGCTGAAGAACGAAGCGTCTGCTGTCTCCAAAGCCATGAACTCCATCACGACTCGTCGGCGAGTGGTGCTGACAGGAACGCCACTGCAGAACAACCTGATAGAGTGTGAGTGACCAATGTGGTTGTTATTTATTTATTTTTTTGAGGCCAGCAACTTTAGGGTTTTCAACCAAAAAAAAAATTAAAATCGAACATTTAGGTAGATTACTAGTTATTAAAGCTGCAGTGCGTAACTTTTTTTTTGGTTAAAAATAATCTGAAATCGATGTTTGAGCAAGTACATAACCAGCCAGTGTTCGAAACTATCGCCTTACTTTAGCCAGATTCACAACGGTTAGTTTATAATAATGTTTTCTAGGTTTTCGCGGGAAATTTGAGCATGCTGCCGCGTCATTATGTCACGTCTGTAAACATAAAGAAGTTGTCCCGGCTACTAGGCTATCGCATGTGAGGATCCTGCAGGTGGCCGATCGTTTATAGCCTTTTCTCACAGCAGCTAGAATAATTAAATGTATCATTTTGATGGCGGATTGTAATCCAGAAAGGATTATGTGTTTATGAAACACATGTGAATGAAATTAAATTATATTCCAGTTTTAAATGTACTTCTGATTACAGATAGCCTGGGATTAAACAAGATTTGTATTTTAAAGACAACCAGTTCGAAGGGAGCATAATTTGCTTTTTGGGTAAAA